AACTAGTCGAATTCACCTAGAAATCTCTGCTTCAACGTGGAATAACGGTCTTTGTGGTCTGGAAAATGAATCACGGGTAGTTCAATAAATCTACCAGGAAAAAAAGACCAGCTGCGCGTTACTTAGTAACTAAGCCCTTATGCTCTACTTGAGAGTTGACGCTTTCTGCTCTGCTAATACCCTACCTAGGTTTACCAATGTAGCACTTTCGGGATCAACTCTTGGTTATGGTTAAGCACTAGCAGAAAAGCTGGAGGCGAGATTGTGCATGGAGGGGTGCATTAAGAAGTCATTGACCTTACTGCCTTAACTTCCTTCTTCCTTCAGACTCCTCCCTGTCATGGAACGTGTGCAATGATGAGTTGGTTTGCTTGTGATAATACTCATCTCAATTTTCTCCTTTACACTCTTCCCTCATATACCCTCGGGTGGCCCATTCATTTTGTTTCGAAGCTAGGGATCTTAAAGATTCCTCAGAAAATTGTATGGAGAGTTTTGATAACTGTTGATATTTCGCCGCAGTACTCGAAAATATCACAAGGTTCGCGAGTTGCGAACGAAACTTCGGCATCGGAGGGGAATCGAACCTTTACTATGCTATACGGACACCGTGCCCTTTAACCCTCACACTACCGAGACTTCGCTTGCTCAGCCTTGTAATGACAAAGTCTGGGTCAGTATTCCAAGGGACTTGATTTATTTCTAAAAATTCCTAGATTGAGAATTCAGGCGTTTTCCCGTTTCGCCAATGGGAAAATTTACTTCGGATTATGTTATTGTTCTACTCTGTGATCGCTTCATTTGGGCACTGTATGAGCACAGAAGCTGGCAGCCATTCAATAAACTTTCCCAAAGTGAGAATTGACAAAAGTGTGGCGTTAGTGGGAGGAGGAGAGAGTATCAATGAAATTCGTTGCATGTTTTTCATTCGTTCTATGATCCGAAGCATTACTGAGTAAACAGCAGTGTTCATAAATATTTCCCAAATAATCCCACGCATTTGATTTCCATCCAGAATGATAACGGAGTTAGTGCGGGTGTGCGGCACATATGTACAAACGTAGATGGAAACGGCCGCGTTGGAATCAACATTACTACTTCTAAACATTCACAACCCTCTTCTTCTTACCCTGTGCACAATCACTTCCCAATAGAGCTGATGAGCTTCTAGCTTTCCCGAAGCATCTATTTTTCCTAGCGCTGAAATTTTCACCATCACCGCCCTCTCATCTGTTGTGCCGTCGCGTGATGTCGAGCGAATTTTCCGGTTTTGCGCCGTTGATGATGTAAAAACGCCTAAGTGCCCCACGTAGCAAGCAGTTGTTGTCACATGTTGCATTTCCATACCAGGTTTCTTTGCAATCCATAAGGCCTTTATTTGTAAAAATATTATTCGACTTTTGATTGGTACATATACTTCACTTTCTTTTCCCACAGTCCTTTCTACTTCCCTTCTCTTTCACTTTCTTCTTCTTTTCCTATTTTTTTCTCTTTTTCTTTCTCTTTCTGCTTATCCTTCTCCCTCTCTCTTTCTCATTCCCTTTCTTTTTCTCTTTCTCTTTCTCCTTCTCCTTCTTCTCTCTCTCTTTCTCCTTCTTCTCCTTCTCTTTCTCTTTCTCCTTCTCCTTCTTCTCTGTCTCTTTCTCCTTCTTCTCCTTCTCTTTCTCTTTCACTTTGTCTTTCTCCTTCTTTTTTTCGTCTTCTATTTCATGCTCTTTCTGCTTCTCCTTCTGTTTCTCTTTCTCCTTCTCACTTTCTCTCTCCCACTATTCTCGCCCCTCCCACCTCCCATAGAACTTTTGACCTAAAAGCTACTAGTTGATATTGATCAGTCACTGGATATACGTCTTGCATTCGACTTCTACTTGGAATAATTCAGGTTGGATGATCTATTTTGTCTAAGCAATGTGTAGTGTACCTCACCAACAACAGAACGGCCAAAGTGGCACTTTATTCGTCCCGCAAAGTCTGATGACTGTCACTGGACTTCAGAGGTCTTCTGGGATTCATTCGCTGCTTCTCAAATGACAATTATCTATCATCCTTCAACAGGAAACTTTCGCTCTTTACCACACTCGCTCATCTCGCTTCCAGTGCCTGTTTGGACAGCCAGTGGATGTGATCTGTTCCAATCATTTGGAATATCTGAGCATTCATCCGAACATTTCTTCAATGAAAATCCCGCTCTCATTTTTTCGTGGCCATTTGATTTTTTTATTAACAAACTTTTACAATCTTCTGAAAATTTCCTGTTTCAAGACGGAAAAGTCCGCCAGTTAGTTCCGTGCGCATTATACCAATCGGGAAACCAGTTTCCGATTTTATTGATCGTTTGTTTACAATCGCAATTGCTTGCAATATTGTAGTTTGGAAATCCGCTAAATGAGGGTATTTCCTATGCGGCTGGCACTTTTGTCATTTATTTAGCCTTGGCAGTATCTTCCCTGATTCAATAAACAGTACTCTACGGGGCCGTGGCCTAAAAAATTGTTTGGCCAGATAGCCAATCAATCGATTGAATTTCAATCATTTCTGTGCATCTTGTGATGTGACAGCCTCGATGAGAGGCCTGTTACAAAGTCACAAGGCTGCACTTTCCACTTGCAACCCGGTCGTGCTCAGGGAGAAACTGCAACAATCATCGTATGCACTTTGTCGCAACGGTGGCTCAAATGTACATATTGCAGCTTACGAACTTCGGGACACTGGCGCTGCTTCAACTTCTGGCATCTGGCATTTCACCCTTCGGAGGCACTAGATAGGCACTACGGAGAGTGAGACTGGAACTGAAAGGTTTCCAGCAGTCAGCGAACGCATTAGCTCCTCATCAAACGGGCGTGCCTGTCCGACAAAAAAAAGTTTGATGTTTGAAAAAACTCTAGCATTAAGCTCATTTTTCATGGTCGCTTACCGTATGAAGAAGTCGATGTGGCAGCGAAAGCGGAACACCGCCCTTTTTCGATGTTATCCATAGCTAAACATCTCCTGTGTAGGAGACCATAATGTAAGAACGTTGACATTTACGTTAACGCATAGTCCCAACCTTGCCACAAGTGAGGTTAAAACCTCCAGGCACCTTTCTTGGGTTATATAACAGAAAGGTAGGTGCAGAATAGAGTGACGAAAGAAGCGAGATAATCAGCGGAATTGCGAACATGGAGCTTCCTAATACCAGTTATGCTCGAGGATTGTACGAGATTATGACGATGAACGGGGTGTTTGGACGAGATATTATTTGAGTTCAATTGCGTAATGATTTGGCTACTGCCGGAACTACTGTGTGACGATAGTAGACAGCAGATCCGGCAGCAGCCGACTCAGCTGATCGTACTGACCATGGGTCACGGCCTGTACGATCACTTTTTTGATGTGCTCCGCTGTGAATGGTGCAGCCTGTACAAGGTTGTTAAAACACGTCCACTTCTGGGTGTGGCCTACGGAACAGCTCATATTTCAGCCCTTATTGTGCTCCTGTAGGCTGTTTTTTGACTCCACAACGCCCTATGTGGTATCCTTGAGAGTATCATCGCAATAAGGAACTTCAGAAACCCTTTTTCCGTTGATGTGCCTTTAATCCATAAGATGGAGTTTTTAACTCAGATCGACTGGTGGCCTTTTATGACTGGCTTTACGAACTCACTGATGGGCCATCTACGAACACATTTCCTTCCTTCGTTGGTATATTTGCTTCAAAAAAAAAAAGATAGCCTTGCAGTTTCGCATATCGAACCTGATAACATGCAAACTACCATTTCAGCCTCAGCGACATTCATTTAGATTCGTCAGGGATTTCCCAATCTAATGAGCATGATGGGCAATTTGTCACGAATAGTTCTTGACTTTCGGAACATTTTTCCAATTATCGCTTTTTCCTTACGAACTGGTATGATAGTTTGTAACCAACGATACAATCGGTATACGGGCTGATCACTTCTAGCACAACACTGTCCGCATTTAGAGCGTATGTACTTTTAAGCGATCGATAATGTACTTTAAAAAATGCAATTTTGGATGGGCTATTCCCAATTTTCATGTTCTCACCAGGTGGTATAGAGGCAAAAGGCAGACTGTCTCTCATACATAGCTCGAGGTTCGAATCACAGCCCGACAATCGCATAGCTCAGCCAAGATTCTCTCCCTCCAGGTTCATAATTGGTGCCAGACTTTTCTGGGAGGATAACAGCATTGACTTTTACACGGCTAGTCATCGCAAGTCAATGTATAGTCCATATGCGTATTAATAACCACCATTACGATCCTGAANCAAAAGGCAGACTGTCTCTCATACATAGCTCGAGGTTCGAATCACAGCCCGACAATCGCATAGCTCAGCCAAGATTCTCTCCCTCCAGGTTCAGATAATTAGTGCCAGACTTTTCTGGGAGGATAACAGCATTGACTTGTACACGGCTAGTCATCGCAAGTCAGTGTATAGTCCATATGCGTATTAATAACCACCATTACGATCCTGAATGGAAGCCATATACGGAGGCGCATCCCTCAGATGGGATGATCAGCACCCTAAGACTTTATAATCTATCTTTCATGTCCTCTGCCTGATAGTGCAATCTACGATGCGGTGTTGTGCTCGTAAATAAAACCGAAAGGGTTCAATCGTCCAAAGCTGAGGAGGAAACCCATAGGGACCAGCCAAAAGTTCGGGCAGTGGGACTTCCCTAGTTGGTGTTGACTTGGTAATAGAACGAATTAAAGTTGAAAATAAAATACGAGCTTCCGTACGAGCTCAGGCTTGTAGATACCACCAATGTTTTCTTATGTTGACTTCGCTTTAACTCTCTCAGTTCCCACCTTATCGAACCTTATCTTCACCAGTTGCTTGTCCCTTTTGTCATGATGTTACGTCTACTGAGGGGCGGTGTTGTGAAGGCGTCGCTTCCTGCTATCCGGGGCTTACTGGGGCTTTTGCAAGCTTCTTTTATTCTTGATTACGCTACGTGTTGACTCTTCTACCGACTGAATCCTCCACACACAGCACATTCAATGATGGTCAGGCTTCAACCCAAAATGGTTTTAAGCCAGGGTCCGGTTCACAAAGCAGTGAGGCCCGGGTTTATACATTGGCGATGTCTAAATTCACTTTTCTTACCGTCCCTTACTTTCCTTCACTGAAAAATTAGTTATAATCACAGAAAACCTGAGGTTTAATGATAGTACCCCTGCACTGTGTGGTCTCTATGTGCCCGTTCCAGTGTTGAGCCTACCTTTCTTTTTCTATTGAGTTTCTACATCTTTTACTTTACTGCTTACTCGATAGGAACAAAATCTGTTTATCTTTTCCGCCGTGGGAGTTCAACGTCTCCAGAGCCTTTCGTTATTTTTGGAAAATATTTTCGCATTTTGGATTTTTGAAGACTGACATGTTGTTTATTCCAGGATGATATCACCGCAGACCATCATCAAACCAACGGCTCAAATAAAGCTTGATGATCTGCCTATGGAGGTGAGTAAGCTGATATCCCTTCTTATCCAGCATTCATGAAAGGCATCACTAGATATCTTTTCAGATGGCTCTGCATTAATCGAATTTTTGAGTTCCTTCCTAACCCCAGGGCTTCCTCTTCCCTGTCCTTGCACCCACAGATATTGCCATCAATCGAAAGCCGTATATTAACGCCAATCCCACACGATCCCTCGAATTTTGAGAAAAAAAANAAAAAAAATGTAATTTTATGTGTACTGCAATTGCAAGGTAACATTGTACTTTTGGATTTCGGGGCTCATTTTATGGCCCCCATGGCGCTTCCTAACGGGAGGCCGTTCAGGAAAACTTACACGAGGATTCCTCTCCAGTTACTTCCAGCTCAAAGCTTAGTTCAATGATTTTTTGCTATTATTGAGGTACAAAGCCTGATTCCTATGAATTAATTCTGATAGCTCCCGGGTAGCATAGAGCGAGGACCGTATCAAATGATTCTATCATTCAAGATGGAAATCGTATGCCTGGCGTATCGCTGTGCTCAACGATCTATTACGGATCAATTTATCAAGCCATAGGGTTTCTTCACTTGAATTTGCCCTTTGATTTCATAGTTACCAACTAACTTATGGTAAGTTAGAGTGCAATATTTCGAAAATGAGCCTACTGGAAGCTTGACGTAAAAGAACAAAATCGATTCCATTACATTGGATTGCTGATATCGTTTCTATGACGGATTTAATAGAATACTTAGAAATTTGAAACATACCCACTAAAAAAATGTGAAGTTTTGTCTGTGGAGTCTTCTCCAACCCTTTCAATCTTATGTCAAGCGGCTGAGGGTTGTACAAGATAGTAATACCTTCATGGCGATAGTTTCGGTGCCGTGTTCGCCGACAGGAATTACTAGCGGAAGTCTGTCTTCTGGCTCACAATATTTAATTTGAAATTAGAAAAGAAGGGGAAATTAAGTCTTGAACAAGAGAAATCCTAGTCACACCGTTTCGATTGAGTCAATTTCTGCCTTGGGGAAAGGCAAGTTAGTCAGGTGCGTTCACGAGAAATAGTTCCACGAAAAGTTAGCGATTCACATTGATGGAACAGCTATATAAAATGGGGCTATAATTATTTTTTTCGATACCCACCTTCGTATGGATAGATGTAGCACCAAATGTGACCATTGAAGGGTAATAAGGTTTGGGTAACCCCAGAATTGGAGCGCTGTTTGTCATTTTGACAAAGAAATTGTTCTTTTAGTACATCCTTAGAATCAGTGGGGATCGAAAATCGTGTTTGCTTGTTTTCCTTGAGAGGCTCCTTTGCTTCCTTCTTCTATGTTGGTTCGTTTAGCACCTTTAATTTCGTTGTCGAGCCCTACACTATGCACATGTTGTTATCGCCCAGTGTGCCTTCTCCCATTCAATGCCGTTTTTTTGCATTTTCACACTTTTTTCTCCTACTCAAAGGGGCAGTTGAGATGAGAATTTCCACTTTTTTCTTGCAGTATCAGCACTAGCTATTTCAAAAATCGCTATGCCCTCTGAGCAGATGGGAATACTTCTTGTGAAGGCTATGGAAGGCTATTTTCATGCCATAAAAGCTCATTTTCTCATGAATTTTTTCCTGCTACATAATTGAATTCAGTATTTGTAACGTTACCTTTACGAAATCACGATGACAAAGGGCAAAGTCTTTGGCTTCAATCAATCCCCTTGACAGAATGCGCCCCACATTCGACTTCAGTTTAGCATCGTAGTGGCGTATTGAATGCGTATGTGGCCTATACAATGACCTGCAGCAGTCAGTCGATGTAGAAGTCAGTGCTTTTATCCTCCCAGACCATTATGTTACCGATTGACCGACCCCGAATTGATGGAAGGCCTGCTTGGCCTGTGCCAGTATCGACTCGTAGTACGATACCAAGACCATGTCCGCGTGATAGTCCGCCTCTTGCCGCTACACCACCCCCAACCCAGTTCCTGTGGTTTCAGATTGAGTGTTTCATGAAGTTCTTAATATTCAGGTGGTCAATCCCCTCTGGAATTAACGAAACCCTTATAGACTTGTCCCAAATGGGAAGGTTGCTCCCATGCAAAAGCCTGAACTGTTTCGAACGCAAGGCGTATCCTTAGGGCGCAGTTTGTTTATCACGAATCTGTATTGGCCCTCTGTGAACAAATATCTGTTCTGGAAATATTTCTTGTATAAAAAAGCTGTCATTTCATGAACAGTATTGACAGCTTCCCACATCAATCGATCAATCAGATGATATTGATTCTATTCTGCAGGTGGACTCATCACGTAAGACTTCAACAGATCGACCGCCTCTGATCACTTCGATCCAGCACAGGCCATACCAAGGCAAGAAGCATCAGAACATTGCAACCAGGAAAGCATCAGTAATGGCTCAAAAGAGGTCAGTTTCCCCTAAAGCTTCGAAGACAGCAAATGAGGTGCTGTAAACAGCTGTCTTGGACTATTACTTTTGATAGTTGTCTCAGAAAATTACTTTGAATTTAATTATAAGAAGATCATGATGGGTTATCGAGTTATTCCACAGATTACTAACTTTTTAATCAATTTTCTAATTTTCAACGCTTTAAAACACATTCATAAGTAATACTTTTTCATACTCATAACCAAGAGAAACCTCAACGAAAACAATAACGGCCTTTCAGTAGCTTCCGTTTATACTTTTCGGGGAGGTTTGAACTAATTTGTAGTAGGAGTTTTTTGATCAGTACTGCGTAGTTTATTAGTAGTTAACTTGTCACTCCTACCCTTCCCAACTAAATTCCATAGGAATCATCCTCATTTTTCACCTGATCAAACCATTACTGAGCCCATCATTAGAGTTGGCTTTTTTCTCGTCCTCTATCAGAGAGATAAGGGTGGGTACTCGAGGCATTTACGACCTTGTGGTTTTCGCATCTTTCTTATCAGGATGATCAGGATCTACGGCATTCTTCCTTTTATAGGTGTGGTTGAATGAAAAGTAGTGTAAGAACAGATCTTAAGAAGTTCCTTAAACTGAAGCGAAGCGAACCTTGGAGCCAAGAGAGGGGTGTGGCATAGGAGTGCTCAAGTCGTTCCTGAACCCGGAAAGGTGGTTGACCAGTTTGCATTAAAAAGTACTATCACCTCTAAAATCCTGTTATTCGTTTACTATCAACTGAAAGCATCAAAAAAATTCTTAGAAGACTGAAGATGATTTTTTTCCAATTTTGCTTCGTGGGTGGGTTACTTTTAA